CCAGCCTGTGCTGGGCACTGTCTCAGCCCTATTCCTTCTCTCCGCAGAGCTCCAAGGCAGTGCAGGGGCTGACCGGCTTGCGAAACCTCGGCAACACGGTGAGTGCTTACCCAGGCACCTGGCTGTGCAGCCCCAGCTCACACCGTGCTCTTCTGTGGGCACATCTGTGGGGCAGTGGGGAGCCCTGTCCTTTCACCTCACCCCTAGCACCCACACTCTCACCCTGGCGGCTCCCTGCACCCTGCTCCCGATGGTCCTGGCAGCGGAAGGGGTTTCTGTGCTCTGCACTGCTTCATCCCTATCCTCTGCCCACCCATCCCAGGTGTCCCCCTGCCACCGCCTGCCTCTCTCTGCCTCCCGTTGCCATGGTTTTCTCTTCTGCCTCCCCCAGTGCTTCATGAACTCCATCCTGCAGTGCCTGAGCAACACCAAGGAGCTGCGGGATTACTGCCTGCAGAACCAGTACCTGCGGGACCTCAACAACAACAGCCGCATGCGTACCGCGCTCATGACAGGTAACCGTCAGTCACCGGCCCCTGACTCCACACCTTGTGGGGCTTCCCTGACTCCCGCCCCTGCCGCACATCCTCGCTGCCCTGTACCACCCCATGTCCTGGGGGACCCCCACCCAGAGGTCGGTGCTTCTCCCCAGCCTTGCTGGGGCAGGTGCTGTGCTGTGGGTGCCCAGCCAGTGGGATCTCCAGAGGCAATGGGGCTGGCGACGGGGACCCGAGAGTGGGGTGCTGAGCTATCCCCTGGAGGGCACAGTGATGCCGTGCCACCAGGGCTGGCCAGGGCCAACTGTGCCACTGACCTGCCTCTCTGCCCAGAGTTTGCAAAGCTGATTCAGCTGCTCTGGACCTCATCCCCCAATGATAGCGTGAGCCCCTCCGAGTTCAAGACGCAGATCCAGAGATACGCCCCCCGCTTCGTCGGCTACAAGTAAGGGGTGTTGGTGCAGGGGTGGCAGGGAGGACCCAAGCCCCTGCTGCTGCTCACTGGCCATGCCCCATGTCTTGCAGCCAGCAGGATGCACAGGAGTTCCTGCGGTTCCTCCTCGACGGGCTGCACAGCGAGGTGAACCGTGTGCTGGTGCGGCCACGGGCCAGCACAGACACCCTGGACCACCTCCCGTAAGTTCTGGCTGGGACAGAGGCAGTGGACAAGCCCCACGGACAAGCTCACTGCCTGCAAGCCTGGCCCAGGGACAGTAACTATGCAGGTCCCTCTGAGCTGTGTCGCAGGGGCTGGCGTCTGCCAGGGCACACTCAATACCACTCTGTCTCCCCATCTCTTGCAGCGACGATGAGAAGAGCCGCCAGATGTGGAGGAGGTACCAGGAGAGGGAGGACAGCCGCATTGGCGGTGAGCAGGGCTGTGAGGGGAGGAGGGCAGGGCTGGGCTGGGAATGAGGCTCACTCCTGGGGGTCTCACCTTGCTTTGTCCCATCCCCACCAGACCTCTTCGTTGGGCAGCTGAAGAGTTCACTGACCTGCAGTGAGTGCGGCTACTGCTCCACAGCCTTTGACCCCTTCTGGGACCTGTCCCTGCCCATCCCCAAGGTAAGGGGTCCCTGCCAACCCCCGGCCCCCTGCCCCACACACCCTGTCCCTGACCCGCTCTGTGCTCTCACAGAAAGGCTACGGGGAGGTGACCCTCATGGACTGCCTACGGCTCTTCACCAAAGAGGATGTGCTGGATGGGGACGAGAAACCGGTACGGGCCATGGGGACAAGTGAGCTTGCCTTGGTGCAGGCTGGGGCCCTTTCCCTCCATGCCTGTGTTGCCACGTCTGTGGGCTTGGTGCCTGGTAGGGCTGGCCTCTGCTCTAACCCTCCTGCTGATGCTGTTTGTCTCCCACAGACGTGTTGTCGCTGCAAAGCCAGGACGAGGTGCACAAAGAAATTCAGCATCCAGAAGTTCCCCAAGATCCTGGTGCTTCGTATCCTTCAGGTGGAGGGACGGGGCCAAGGGGTGCTGGGGGGGGGTCAAGCGGTTCCTTGCGGGCTCTTCTTTGTCCCTCGTCTCCTTGACATGCATCCCTAGACCTGAAGCGCTTCTCAGAGGCCAGGATACGAACGAGCAAGCTCACCACCTTTGTCAACTTCCAGCTGAAGGACCTGGACCTGCGGGAGTTTGCCTCGCAGAGCTGCAGTGAGTGACAGGCCCTGCATGGCTCCAGCCCAGCCCTGGGCTGCCGGCAGCTCCTGGCTGGGTCCTTCATGCCCCCCAGAGTGCTGCAGCCTGCGGTGGTGGGGCAGAGGAACAGGGGGTGGGAGCTGCAGACATCCAGTGTGGCAGTCCCTCCTGGCCCCAGCTCTGTGCTGGTATGTTGGGGGCCAGAGGGGCAGCAGCCAGCACGGCTGAGTACTGCCCTTGCTCCCCACAGACCACGCCATTTACAACCTTTACGCCGTCTCCAACCACTCGGGCACCACCATGGGGGGACACTACACCGCCTACTGCAAGAGCCCAATCTCCAGCGAGTGGCATAGTTTCAACGACTCCCGGTGAGGCTGTGGGTGGGACAGGGGTGGCTGTGGGGTTGGGGTGAGCAGGGACCACCCTGCCCAGTGCATCCCACTGCCTCATCCCCATTGCTTACAGTACATCTCCTCATCTCCACAGTGTTACCCCAATGTCATCCAGCCACGTCCGCAGCAGCGATGCCTACCTGCTCTTCTACGAGCTGGCCAGCCCGTCCTCCCGCATGTAGCCAGCCCAGCCTCTCTGGGGACCCCTGTGCCACCCCTCAGAGCCGGGCCCTCCAGGTTTTGGCCGTTTGCCCCCCAGGTGCAAGAGGGAGGTGAAGAGGAGAGACCCCGAGGCGGCTGCAGGAGGAGGCTGGGAGCAGCCAGGAGCAGACCCCAGGCAAGGACACCCCAGCTCTGAACTGAGGAGGGCAGCCCGTGGCAGGGCAGGGCCCAGGCAGCTCAGGCACCTCCTGGTTGCTGGCATTTGGTTTTTACCTTGGGGTACGTTTTAGTTTCTTTCTTTTTTTTTTTTTTTTTTGTTGGTGTGTAATAAAAATACTGAGCAAGGGACTCTGCGGGCATGGGGCTCCCCTGGGGGAGCACCCAGAGCTGGGGACCCAGGAGAGCATCCTGCATCCCTCCTGGCCTCTTGGCACTCCTGTTCTGCTTGGCCGTCCCAGAGGATTCGTGAACTGCTCCCGGCCTCCTCCCAGCACTTCCGAACCTCCTGGCAAAGGACCCCGGCCCTTCAGTTGCCTCCGTCCCGTTTCAAGCAGCACATCCTCACCAGCTGCCCTGTGCACACTCCTCAAAGCAGCCTGAGTTCAGCCTAGACTCAGACAGGAGGGAGGAAAACATTTTGTGGAATTTATATGTATTTGTAGTGGACTTCGCTCGACCCGGAGCACCCTGCGGCTTCCTGGCTCTCCAGGGACTTGTGCAGGGGAATGCTTTGGGTAGGTTTTTACCTGCCTCCTCATACGACGGTGCCTTAAACCATTTAGGGGAGCGGGAGGCCATTGGAGTTGCATAGGAACGTCCGTCCTGCGGAGGAGAGGGAGGGGAGGACAGTGGCTTTCCGGGACCATCTGCAATCGGGGGTTTCTTCTCCCTGTGATCAGGAGCGCCCTGGGTGCCCGGGGATGCGTGTCCCCACCCGCGCTGCTGCTCTGTCCTCCAGCTAGGAAACGCCAGTGGCCTTTTTAGCCTTTTCTCTAATTTATTCTCCTACCTTTCCTGCCTTGCCTGAGGTGCAGCGGGAGGAGAGATGGGCCCGACCCAGCACAATCCCAGCCCCAGACCTCAAGGCAGCTACGTCCAACCCAGCAACCCATCCTGCTTCACCCTCGCTGGCCCTGCGGGCACAGGCTGAGCACTCTCATGCCATGAGCATCTCGCCCAGCCCAGGGCATCCTGGTGGGGCTCGGGGGAGGGCAGGCTAGGATGGAGGGGCTGCCCGCGGCAGGTACCGGACTGGGGCAGCATTGCTGCTTGGCAGGTGGCTTGTTTACTGTGTAAGCAAGATGGGCGGGAAGTGTCTCGTACAAGGGAGACTTGTGCAGGAATAAATTTTAGCTTGAACAGAGTGCTGTGTACATGTGCTTGTCTCTGGGTGGGCAGGCGAAGGACTGTGCCTCCAGTAGTGGGAGGGAAACTGAGGCACGAAGCAGGACTGCAACACCACTGGTGCCAGAGCAGCCTGCCTGTGTGTGGCTCCAGGGGCCCAGGAGCATCTGTGCCCTGGGACTTGCTTGAAGCATGGGAGATGTGGGTGCAGCTGGGAGTCCCTCTCATCCATCCACCTGTGGTGCCTGGGGGCAGAGGGAGCTTTTCTTCCTCCTCCAGTCCTGCAGAGCTCCTGCCCACTCTCTTCCTCCAAAGCCCCTGAACAATGGCCCCTTTCTCCCCTGCTTAGGGATGGAGACAGGCACTGAGGCATTAAGGGGCAGCGGGAATTCAGGCGGTGGGGCTCAGGCACCCAGTGCCTGGGAGGCGCAAGGGAAGGAGGGACACGTTCGGCCTGGACTCCCCGACAGAGCCCCTTCAGTGCCACCCTGTGCTGGCGGGGAGCCCGGGGACAGCAGGCAAACCAACACCCCCTCCGAGCACCCAAAAGCAGGGTCCCCAGTGGGACGGGCTCCCAGCGGGGCGGGTGTGAGCACACCTTCCCCTTTAAGACGCTGGTTCTCTGTGCCAGAGTCTGACCTCGGCATCCTCAGCTGAGCTGGATTAACGGGGTGGGGGGGAAGGGGCCTGCAGAGGGGACTGGGGCTGCTGGCCTCCCGGGGCTCCCGGCACTCGTGGCACAGTGGACATGGCCCTCGGGACTCCACAGAGTCCGGCGCTGCGGCAGCACATGTAGGCACAGGCGGGCCTGGCACCCCCGTGGAGCAGGGGTCCCCACGCCACCCCAGGGCCGATGGGGGCAGCTGGGGAGGAACGGGTGGTGGGGCAGGCAGCTGTGCCGGGGTGCAGAGCACGCTGGGGAGGCTTTTAGCCAGGCTGCACTGGGAATCGCCCGCCGCCATGAAAGACTTCACTGAAATCACACTTTGCCCCGAGGCTCTGGACCACAGCAAGGTAGGGCTGGGGATGGGGGTGCCGCCTGGAGGGTTCCTGCCCGGCCATTCACGGGTCCCTGCAGCATGGGACCCGCGGTGCCATCTACACCTGCTCTCCTGCAGACCGAGTTCTGCAACCCTGTCTTTGAGGGTGAGGAGTCCCGGGCAGTGCCAAACACCAAACACCCACCAGAGGAGGATGGGACCAGCCCTGCATCACCTCGGGACAGCCTTGGTACCCGTCTTGGGGTTTGTACACATGCCCCTGTCTATGGGGCCACCAGGAACAGCCATAGGTCTGGGATAGGGGTGATGGGGCAAGCTCCCCACAGGGCTCTGGGGCCATCCGGGTACCCACTAACGCCCCGGGGACAAGAGGTCGGGACATGCCCAGCCAGGGCTCAGCCAGCCATGCAGGGAGGTGGCAGGGTTGGGGCATGGCTAGCAGCATCCTGGCTCTGCCCGCTTTCCTTGCCCTCCTGCAGGCCGGCAGCTCTGGGGCCAGGCAGGCTGGCGGTACCGCGCCGACTGCAAGTTCACCTGGCTCTGCGTGGCTCTGATGAGTGCCATCCTCCTCTTCCTCATCGCCCTCCTGTTGGGCATCATCATCCACCGTGAGTGCCTGAGCAGGGAGGGCTGGGGGACCGGGCTGTAGCTGTGACCGTGGTGGGTGGGACACAGAACCGGCTCAGAAGGAGAGAGGGGCACAGCGAGGGCATCCATCCTACACAGGACCTCACAAGGTCTGCCCATCATGGGGAGAGAGTGCCCCCATGCTTAGGAGCAAGGGGGATCTCCACCTCCCTGGGGTATGGCAAGGTCACTGGGCCCTATGAGAGCTGTGTGGGATTCCCAGGGACCTGCATATGTGTGGGGTAGGGGTGGGAGCACAGGACATGGGGCTGGGTGGGCTTCCTAAGCCCCTGCCCTGCACTGCAGACATTTCTCTCTGCTGGGGCTGAGCTGTCCCTGCTCTTCCCTGGGCACAGAGCTGACATCCCCGCAGCCACCCAGCGCCCCAGCTGCAGCCCTGCCTGCCCACAGCACCAGCTCCACCACTGTAGCACCGACCCAAAGGGCTCCCCCGGCTCCCAAAACAGCTGCCACCCCAACCCAGAGCTGGCTGCCCACAGCTGGCACGTCAGCACCGCCAGCGCCAGGTAAGTCCCGCGTGGGGCAGTGTGCCAGCACGGCGGTGCCCTGCAGCACTATCTCATGCCCACGCTCTTGCCCTGTGCAGCCTGTGGTGGGACCCTGCGGGGTCCCGAGGGCTCCTTCAGCTCTCCCAACTACCCCGGCCCCTACCCACCTGACACACTCTGCATCTGGCGCATCGAGGTGGGCCCTGGCCTTGCCATCCAGCTGAAGATGGAGACCTTCAGCGTGGAGGGCACTGCCTCCTGCCTCTTCGACCGTGTGGAGCTCTATGAGGAGCAGGGGGCCAGCAGCACAGATCCTGTCCCGGATCGGGTGGGCCCAACCAGGTAGGGCCCCTCGCACCCGGGGAGCATGGCAGCACAGGGGGGAGGAGGCAGCATCTCTCGGTGCGAGCGATGTCGCCCCTTGTTGTGCCCCCAGGTTTTGCGGCAACGTGGTCCCCCCGACCTTCAACACCAACTCCAATCACCTGCGTGTCATCTTCGTCTCCGACAGCAGCGTGGGCGCCCCAGGCTTCAGCGCCCGCTACCGCGCTGTGCCTCCCAGTGAGAGTGAGTACCCCCACCCCTGGGCGCTGCCAGGACTCCTTGCTGTGGGCAGGCACTGGGTAGCGCCGGGGGTCTCCCATAACACCCAGAGCACTGGGACAGGGGAGGGTGCCCCATGGGACACCAGTGCCAGCCTGGCCGTCTCTGCCTGCACTGCAGAGAGCTGTGCCTGGGACGAGCACTTGTGTGATCAGGGGCTCTGCCTCCACCTGGGCTTCGTCTGTGACGGCTTCCACGACTGTGTGGACAAGAGTGATGAGGCCAACTGCAGTCTGAAACACAAAGGTGGGCCAGCCCCCTGCCTGCAGCCCACAGCCTCTGCGGCACCCGGCCAGAGGGCATGGTGATGGGCAGTGGGAGGCAGGGGCGGGGGAGTGGGGAGATGGGGTGAAGGGAGAGAGAAAAGGGGTAAAGCTGCACGTGTGTGTGTCCCTCCAGAGTGTGGGGGGCCACTGACCGCCTTGGAGGGGCACTTCTCCACCCCAAGCCATCCTCAACCATACCCGCACCAGCAGGTAAGAGAAGGGATGCCAGCGGGATGGAGGCAGGAGGAGGGGGAGAGCATGCAGGGAGAAAGGCAACCTCCCACCGTGGAGAGCCGGGGGTGCCCCTGCCTGGCTTCATGGGTGTCGCTGGCTGCCCCCTGCCCTGCAGCTGTGCCTCTGGCAGATCTCAGTGCCCGTGGGCCACGTCATCGACCTGCACTTCCACAACTTCAGCCTGGAGTCACATGAGGACTGCAGCTTTGACTTCGTGGAGGTGCACGACAGCGCAGGCACAGGGGCCGCCAGCCTCATGGGCAGGTACAGGTACACCCCTGATATCTCTGGCCCTGCTGCACCAGTCTGGGTGCACTGGGCTCCTGTGGCTCAGCTGGGGAAACTGAGGCACAGGGTAGGCTGGTAAGGACAAGCCACCGGAGGACAGGGTTTGGGGAGGTGCTGGTCAGCCTCACTGCCCACCCTGACCCCATCCCTAATCCCACAACCCCGGCAGGTTCTGTGGCCACCAGCTGCCACCGACTCTGACCTCCTCACGCCATGTCATGACCATCCTCTTCGTGGCGGACGAGGGAGTAGCTGACGATGGGTTCTTCGCCACCTACCAAGCCCGCAATGCCACAGAGAGTAGGTAGCCAAGCAGGGGCACAGGCTGCCCAGAGGGGCTGTGCAGTCACCATCCTTGGGGGTTCCAAGGCCAGACTGGATAAAACCCTGGAAAAAACTGGTCTCACCGCATAGCTGACCCTGCTGGGAGCAGGAGGTTGGGCTACAGGCACCTGCAGTCCCTTCTCCCCTGAATTACCCTATTGATCCTAGACATGGGGATGTGGCCTGGAAGGGCTCACCTGCACAGAGGCATGATCCACCCATCACCTGAGCACTGCCCCCAAATAATCCAGGGAATTTGGGATCCCCCTAAGCTGGGCCAGCGATTGTCACCTACCAACCATGGCTGCCAGATGGCAGTGCTCTACAACCGGTCACCCGGATGTCCCCTGGCCAGTGACCTAAGAGAGCAGAGCCAGGGGTGGTCAGCATGGGAACAGGGTGACTCCCAGCAGGGATGCCTGCTCTCTGCCTGTGCCATGCCCGACCCCATGCCCTGCCATGCTGTCTCCTCTCATCTTACAGAGACCTGCAGCCCTGCAGAGTTCTCCTGTGGAAACGGTGAGTGCCGGGCGCTGGAGTCTGTGTGTGATGGCTGGCACGACTGCCCTGATGGCACGGACGAGCTGAACTGCACTGGGGTCTCCTACCCAGCCTTCGGTGAGTGCCACCCCAAGTGCTCCACCCAGTCCCTCTGAGCCCCCTGGCCCAGGAGACATGCTGGCAGCTGCCCCATGGCTAACATCTGCCTGAGGCACCTGGGTATCACTGCTGCTGTAAGAAGTGAAGCACCTCACCTTGTGGCAGGGTCTGTCTGTGAGCCTGTGGAAGTGGAGATGTGCCTGGGGCTGGGCTACAATGCCACCTCCTTCCCCAACATCTGGCTGGCCATCCCGGACCAGGAGGGAGCCGCCGAGGTGCTGCAGGACTACCAGGTGAGCTGCATGGGGGCTGCATGGGGGGCTGCCCGCACCACACTGTGCCATGCTCACTGCCACTCTCCCACAGACGCTGATGGAGCTCGCCTGCTACCAGCACCTTCGCCTCCTCATCTGCAGCCTTTTCGTGCCCAAGTGCACCCCAGATGGTGGTGTCCTTCAGCCCTGCCGAGCCGTGTGCCTGGCTGCCGAGCTGCGGTGCCAGCAGTCTCTCGGCCTCCTCGGCATCCTCTGGCCCATCAACTGCAACATCCTGCCCGACTCCAATGACCCCGTAGAGTGCTTCCAGCCCTGACTGGGCAAGAGAAGAGGAGCCGGGGCTGAAGCAGCCTGCCCAGAGCCACCTGCTGCCCCAGATGTCCCTCCCATCCTCCTCCTGTTTCAAATACCCAGCTGCTGGGTGGCCCCCAGCAGCAGCACCCCATTGCCTGGCTCCTCGCCTGCCCTGGGGTCAGCCCCTCTGCTCAGCGCTCCGCTCAGTGCCAAGACGCCATGGGCTTGCCCGCAGGACCAAGTTCCTGGAGAGCAGGTGCCCCTTCCCAGCCTTGCTACAGGGAAAGGCCTGTGCTGGAGGGGCTGTGCCCACGGGTTGGAGCTGTGCTGGGGACACCACGCAAAGTCCCCCTGCCAAGCAGCAGGATGGTGGCAAGAAGGTTGGGAACTGCCTCCCCATCTTCACCCCACCCCAGGGATACCAGCCAGAGCTGTGCGTGGTTCCCAGCACATTTCTCTCTTTCAGCCTCTCCAGGCTGTGCGCAACCTCTTTCCCGCAGCCCTCAGGCAGGTGCTAGCCTAGCAGGGGAAGGGTGAATGCTTTCCAAATGGAGCAAGGCTGGGCCCTGGGAGGCAGCCTGCAGACAGAAGAAGAGCCCAGGGCCGCCCATGTCATGCAGCCCCAAAGCCAGCAGAATAAACAGCGTGAGCAGCTGACAAACCCAATGGAGCACGTGGATCATTTGGGGAGGGTCTGTGTGCGAGTTCTGCCAGATCTGAGGGGACACTGAGGCATGGGGCCAAGGGAGGTAAGCCAGGTCTGGGGTGGGGAGTCTGAG